AATATTTTAATGGTCAATTGAAAGTAACTCCATCACAGCACACTCAGTAACCAATATATTTTGAAACAGCTGTAGACTCAACTAAACAGACATCATGTTTGATGTACTTCACTTGTTACAATGAACACATGAATGAAGACAGCTTCTGTTCCATATTTTTCTCTAATTTGTAAGACTGGTCAGAGAGTAGAGGTGGGGTAGGCTGTGGAATAGTCTCCTTCACGGCTCCCTATCGTGCCATCTTGAAATGTAGCAGTGCCTTAACATCAAAGCAAGACATGCGTTGWGCATGCAATGATAGTGAAAAAAGTTTTCTATCATTGCACGCTTAACGTCTTCGATGCAAAGCCAAGATGACGCAGAGAACCGTGAAGACGACTTATGGTCAAAGATAAAAGACTAAATATTCAGTGACCTTTTATATTGCTAAATTGCCTGTCAACAAGTTTGTTTCAAAATTTGTTGCAAACTATTGAGAAAAAATTCAACATTGATCAAAATAATCCATTATAATTAAGCAATATTCATATAGTTTTTTAAATAAATAAGGTCCTGTAAGATTAAGTTCACATATTTAGACTATATCTTAAATGTATTTGACATTATTCCACCCCTTCCCTACTCACTTTTACCAGTCACAAACAGAAAGGTTTCAGCATGAACTTTAGTTAAGATTTGAATAAATACAGGCTGCATGCATATAGTTCAGTCATCAGTTTGAGTGGTTCAGTGTCTTTTTAAACCAAGATGACAGCTTTATTTAGTAATAATGTCTAATATAATGTTATGAGAGCTTCTACCTAGTGCTTTTCAGCAGAAGGTTGTAGGTGAGGGAGGTTGGGGATGATTGATGCTCCTGAGCCCTACTGACAGAGTCCTACTCTACCCTTAACAAGGGACATCCAAAGAAATCTCTGCCAAGCAGTYAAGGATTTCTTTGCAGGTTTTGAATGTATTTGATATCTTAGAAAATACACTCGATAACATGATTTGTGAGTGTCATAGAGATTTTTCCTGTGGTTCTAGCTTATACTAAAAACTCCAAAGTAAATTGACTTGTTTATAAAGTCTTTTTTGCTTTGAAAAAGGATCTTGCTAAGTAGTGTTATACTCGCAATCCAAAGGACCCTGTTAGTAGGGTAGTATTCCATGTGGCACCCGCTTGGATTCACCCATACATTATGCCATTATCTTTCTTTTAGTATAATAGTCCTTTCCTACAATATTATAGTTTTAACAAAAAGCATATTTTAAGGGTGTGAGAGTTTAAAATACTGTATTATATTAAGAATAGTGGAGTGCACAAGACTGAAGCACATCTAGACATGTATCGTAAATAAAATTGTACTATTTTGTACAAACTTGTAAATCTTTTCTGTGGTGGACATCTGGAGGCTGTACAGAGGTTTCATCTTGTTGAATTTCATTTCATAATCAGATTATAGTTTCAAAATATGCAAAAAAGGTGATTGACCTAAAAATATGTTATCTTTGTGATTGTCTTGGATTCACACAGATCAGTCAGTTGGATTGTACTAAAATGGGCTATCTTATAAAAAAGGGCGGGGATCCTCGTAAGAAATTCTGAAAATGACCCATAAAAGGGACCTGTATTGTTAGATGATGGGCGTGGCAGCACTGAAATTTCAGCCCTAGAGGGACCAATCATTGATTTCAATGATTGAGTTTTGGTTTCCCGATTTTGTGTTTTTGCACAAGCATCAAATGTCGTTGGCTCGTATTGAGTTTATGAGGACGGCTTAGGGTCGTCGTGGCCCTAAAAGTGACCAAAACTTTGTTGGTGGGAATTCTTATCACTATGACCCTAAACACAACTATAGATTTCAAGCCCTAAAAGGGAGGACGAGGACTCCCACACTTTTATATCATGGGCGGATCCAGCTGGTGGGTGCAGGGGGTGCACCCCTCCTTGAGATCTGTATCCTTCAATACTTTCCTTATTTTGTATCTTCATGGTAATGAATTTTGTGGAGTGCAACCATCCTGAAATCCCCGCACC